GATAATGAGGGATGTCAAAAAGCAGGGAATAATGATGCATTGGAATCAAAACTCAAAAAAAGATCTCAACTGCTGGAAGGATGAGCTAAAGTTAACAAGACAAAATTTACATATATAGATAATGTGTGTGTGTTATGAATATGTCTATATATATGTGTATATATATATATAATATATATTCCTTCAAACTTAAAAAAATTAAAATCAAGTACAAGACCTAGAAATCTGGCAGTTCACTTAAGAGACACCTGGAGCTTTTAGTGACCACATACTTTATGAGCCTAAAATGTACTGTCATTGTGGAAAAGATGGTGTAAATTCTTCTGGGGTATTGAATATATCAGTAGTGAAAATAAACTGCACTGATCAGGATTATTTCTAGAATACTATTTTCTGATCCGGCTACTGAATAGGTGGCTGAAACAGAGAAGGGAGAAGAGATGTGTGATTTGAGGAACAGTCAAAATCACATATATTCAATTCAGTGCCCAATTCAAGTGAACTAGAGCTTTCCCCAAAGATCATGCAATCTAACTTGAAGAAACAAGGTGTTATTTCCTCTGGTTGAGAGAAAACTTAGTCTTTAAACATGAAGGTCTTCAGAGAATTCAAGAAGCTTGTCCAAAATTAGACAAAAAGAGGTAGAACTGGGATCTGAACACAGGTAAGTATGACTCCAGAATCTTTAAAACAAAAAAGTCTACTTATATATAAATATCTGAAAATATAGATATATATTTCTTCCTTTGAGTTAAACAGTTTCACTAATCAAGTCCATCTGAAAAGGTTCAATCAGAAAATTCCAAGTTTTACCCGAGCTTTTTTCAGGCAAGAAATTCAGATGTCTTATTTAACTTCACAACTTTAGGATGAGGCACAACTCCTAGTACATATTGTGTGCTCAGTAAATATTTGCTCAGTGAATTTGAATTAGCCAGTACCTAGGCTTGTGTTGTACACTGGTCCACTGATGGATATAACATACATACACGTTCAAACAAGTGAGAAACATTTCTCTGCAAGTCTTCTCTCTTTACATCATCCCGTATTACCATGTCTTTTGTCTCTTTTTCCCCTAGCAACTCAATTTCCCTCTCCGCGCATTTACTTTGTCCCATACACCAATAAACCTCTCACTCCCACCTGGCCACCTGGCCACCAGCCAAGATGAGTCTTCCTGCTGGTTATAATTGCTCGTCTTGATTGACAGCGTCACAAACTAGGACAGTGATCATGATGACAGTAGAAACACAGATTGTTTGGGAAGAGTAAGAAATACAAAGAATTCTGACTGTAACAAGAGAACCACACCCATAATATCTTTACTCATCCTTCACCAAAATTTTGTTTTCCTATTTTTCCCTCTTAATTATGAGAAGACTACAGGAGGCTAATGGTAGAAAAATGAATAAATTGTGCATTTAAATTAGAAAAGCAAATTTCTCAGTACTATAAAAGGTTCTGAGAAGTTCTAAGGCCCAAAATTATGACTCATAAAATCTAGGCAGAGTAATTAGCAGGAAACAAAATCTTTTTTCAATAGGGCTAATTCTAACATTGCCACAGAGTACTGTCAACATGCCAAGAAGAAAATCAGATTAAAATTAATTGTTTGAGTCCTTTTGTTTCTAGCATCTATTCTCCATCTCTATATGCTGAACTGGCAATGTCAGCGCTAGAGACTCCACACCCAGCTACCCACAGATTATCTAGTAACCTGATCCTGCAAATACACAGGACAAGAATGGAGAAGAGAAAAATCTGTTTACCTTAAAAAGAGAACTTCCAAATTCATTCACATCTCATTTTCATTTGTGCCCACAGAACCTTACTTTCAGGCTCCAAAATGAATCGTTTCAGGCTCAAATGGCTATGGCACTTCCACGAATAGGGGAAATATACATTTTAAATACAAAATAGTACCCAGTACAAAGGTCATATGGAGAAAGGAATCAATCTTTCCCAGCTGATCTCTGTTCACTTCAGGGATCATCCCCCCAAAAGAGGGGAAAAAGAAAAAAGTTCTTAAAGATGAATGTGTTGTATGTAGGCAAATATAGAACATGAGATTTTGGAAAGGTAAAAAAAGTAGAAGCACATGAAGGCCGGTGATTAGCTCATAACCCATTTAAAGGCATGTGTAAAGTTTACCTGAAAATGGATGGTATGCTTCTGTTTTTCCGCTGGTGAATTTACCAGGGTACTAACCTTACATTTAAACAGTGTCCTCGTAGAAGAAACAGAGGAGCAAACAAATTCAGAGAGGTTGGGCTGATCTGGTAACCCGATACCCATCAAATGCCAGTTAGGAATTGCCACAGTAGAGAATCTATGGTACTTTCTAGATTTCAGCTCTATACCTAGATTGTGCTGAAATTCAGATTCTGTTTCTAGATGGAGAGGAGGAAAAAAAAAAGCACAAAGATTTCCAGACCTTGGGTGTTTAAAGGGCCTTCACATAGTAAATCAACCTACTCCTGTCTTGTTTTCTCCACAGCCAGACTGAAATAATACAGCACCAGCAGAGGTGTGAATTACCCCCATTCATCTTAATGGAGTGTTAACTTCAAAGGCTTGTTTTAACCATTTAAATGCTAAGCTCAGGAGTAAACGTTCTGTTAAAAAAAAAAAAAGGTACAATTTAAACATTCACCCTCAACATATGAAAGTAATTTATATTCTCAGCACTTCGTCTCTTAATTTAGCAAACAAGTCTCCAAATGTTAGAAAAGTATATATTTTGTGCTTTACTTAGTTTTACTTTAAATAGTTCTTACCTAATAAATTATGAACATTAAGCCCATAATGCAAGGGCCTATACTTCCCAGGAAAAATGCAGCCAAGTACTTGAACAAGGTTTTTTGGGAATCCTAGTGAAGGGGGTACTGCTCTTACCTGCCATTTTACTATCTTCCTCCAAACTCTTGGGGGAAGCTGTGACTGACCAGGCAACTAGATTAGGCAGGATATTAAAGTGAAATAATAATTTTAAAAAACCACTTCCACAAATATTTTCTCTTGATATTAACTAGGTTTGGTGCAGGGTGTTCAATAGGGTACTTGTCCCTTTGCCAAACCTCTCATGATCCTATCCCATGAGCAGGTGACAAATGTATTAACTGATGCCCAGCTGTCATCACACTTAACATTTGCCCCAGGGGGTATCCTTGCATCTGTTGCAGATTTAGGGTTATTTTGGTATTACTGGAATTAGATTTATGTAAGCAGCTGAACACCTATTTGTTTTTGGATCTATAATTTCATAAACAGAAAAGGGGGTACAAGAATTAGCTTATCAGATTAATGGGCTCTGGCTGACCTGAAGCCACATGGGAAGCCCTGCCTGGCTGTGCCCATGGGACCAGGCTAAGTGCCCGTTTCAGGAAGATATTAGAAGAGTACAGCTGGGTCAGAACTGTGGGAAAACACTACAAAGAGTACACGTGGGGCCAGTTCCCCTGTGAGTGAAGGCTAGAGAAAGAATCTAAACATATTAGCTGGACAAGATGGAAGATGAAGAAATTCCATGTCTCTGATTAAAAGCAAATCTATTTTACTGGTCTAGATGAAGGGATGGGGAAAAGGGGATAAATATCTGATCTATTAAAAGAGCCCATTTTGGCCTGCACCTAATTTATACGAGGTCATTTAATCCTCTCAACACAACGCTGTATAATTGGTATTAACTCCATTTAATACATACGTGAAAGTGGAGACTTAGAGAGGTTAAGTACTTTGCCTAAACGCACTGAGATTTGAATCTAAGTCTTTCTAACCCCCAAACTTGGACTTTTTCCATTATACTACACTGATCCCAGTTGCCAAAGAAATATCTTAATTCAAAAGAGAAGCTCAGTTGTCAATTTTGCAGTCCATTTTCTAAGTGGGGAGCAAAGGGGCACCTGCAAAAGTGTGTATTTCCATGCATGCAAATTGTACTTTGCATGCAGTTCCCTACTTTACATGCACACAGGGGTAGAATTACATTTTTACTGATACACCCTGGCTTTGGTAGGCTGCTAACAAGGTGCCCTTTACATAGAAAACTCATGGAAAGGAGAGATCTAGTTTTTGGTTTCCAATCAGAAATAAGCCACATCAATGGGAAACAATGATTTATAACCTCCACACAAAATATGATATAAATCATCAGTATTTGTCACTGTTTGCCAAATAGAAAGTCACATGCTTTAGTGACAAATGAGAAAGCTCAAAGAACTTCTAAATCCACAGCCAATCATCACAGCTCTATCTCATAATGAACAACAGGAAAATCACAAAAGTTTCTTAGAGAAGATTTGGAGACAGAGCAAAATACCAAATGAAATAATCCTGCAGTTTTGTTATTAGTGATTAATGTTGACAACATTATCCCACAGCTAACATTCAATTTTGTATACAAACTCAATATGCTGATTTCTTAAAAAACAAACAAGTGAAAGATTGATCCAGTATATTTAACAACATTAAAAACTTCTGCTCTGCCATAAACACTGTTGAGAGAATGAAAAGGCAAGCCACAGACTGGGGGAGAAAATCTTTGCAAAATACATTATCTGATAAAGGACTGGTATCTAAAATACACAAAGAATGTTTAAAACTCAACAATGAGAAAACAATCCACTTAAAAAAAAAGACGAAAGATCTGAACCTCACCAAAGAAAATATACAGATGGCAAATAAGCATACATGAAGATGCTCAACATCATTATGTCATTAGGGAAATGCAAATTGAAACAACAATGAGATACAACTATACACCCATTAGAATGGCAAGAATCCAAACCACTGACAACACCAAATGCTGGCGAGGATATGGAACAACAGGAACTCTCATTCACTGCTGTCAGGAATGTAATATATTACAGCCAGTTTGGAAAGCAGTTTGGCAGTTTCTTGTAAGACTAAACATATTTTTACCATATGATGCAGCAATTGTGCCCTTTGGTATCAACCCAAATAAGCTGAAACTTATATCCACACAAAAACCTGCACACAAATGTTGATAGCAGCTTTATTCGTAACTCTGAAAGCAATCAAGAGGTCCTTCAACAGGTGAATGGAAAAACAAACTGGCACATCCAAGCAATGGAGTATTATTTAATGATAAAAAGAAATAAGCTATGTGAAAATACATGGAGGAAACTTAACTGCATTTTGTTAAGTGAAAGAAGCCAGCCTGAAAGGTTAAATAATACAATTCCAACTATATGACATTCTAGAAAAGGCTCACAGGGAAAGGCTCATAGTTTTTATGAAGTCAGTCAAAAGATCAGTGGTTGTCAATGCTTGCATCAACAGTGAACTCTTATGTAAATGCTGTACTTTGGTTAATAATATTGTATCAATACTGGCTTATCAAGTATTACAAATGTACCACACTAATGCAATAAGTCAATAATATGGGAAACTATGGGTGTGCTGGCAGTGAGGGGAGATATAATAACCCTGTACATTCTGCTCAATATTTCTATAAACATTAAATCTACCCTTAAAAATAAAGTCTATTGGGATCCCTGGGTGGCGCAGCGGTTTGGCGCCTGTCTTTGGCCCAGGGCGCGATCCTGGAGACCCGGGATCGAGTCCCACGTCGGGCTCCCGGTGCATGGAGCCTGCTTCTCCCACTGCCTGTGTCTCTGCCTCTCTTTCTCTCTCTGTGTGACTATCATAAATAAATTTAAAAAAAAAAAACTTAAAAAAAATAAAAAAAAATAGTCTATTATTTTTTAAAAAACCCAGAAAGACTGATTATATTGAAGAGCATTTTAAATTTATTTTAATTAAAACTGCTATAAACCCACTTTCCCCTACTTATTCCATTTTGTTCTGCTGTTCTGTTAATATTTACAAAAATGTTCACCCACATAAAAAGGGATTTATCCAAGGTGCCTCCCATAATTATTCCTTTTTTGCATATAGAGGTAAATTATTCTTCATAAGAAGCGAGAAAATATTTCCTTCATTTATTAATCCTAAAAATGATTAGTGCTAAACTAAAATTCCCAACCAAAATTCCAAAGATGAGCAAAACAAAAGCCTGTGGAATAAAAAGATAAAGAATAATTAGAGTATTTTAAACCTCTACCTTCTCCAATAAACTCTATTACAGTTCAAAATACACTTTCTCAATGTAGATAAAATACTCAATTATAAAATGACAAATTATTTCTTAAAATAGAATTCTTAAAAGAAATAAACAAAATTAACCTACCCCAAGCTTTTTCCATGAGAGAAAATCCTCTCTGCTAAGTTTAAGATAAAATAGTCCTGGGAACACAAAAATCAAACATGCTGATGTACTGGAACCTTTGAGGGGGAGAAAGAAAAAAAGAGGATATTACCAGATTCAGATGTGAGGCTGGATGACAATTTTATCCATTTCGTTACACGGGATTTTTTGAAACAGAAAACTTACCAACTACACCAAATATATTCCTAATGTCAGGAACATATAGTGCAAGTAAAACAATGATAATATTGAATGCTAGAGTGATCAAAGAATGGCGAATCCATGAGAATGGAAAATTGGAGAAAAACATCATCATTAAAGCTTTCCTTGCCTGTTTAACAGAAAAAGAAATAGATTTAAGCAAAGAAGAAGTGTCAAAGCCAAAATACTTGTTTCGGGAAACACAGGTACAATACAGTAACCATGACTTCTTGCCCCTACACCATTTAGATTTTAGGAATATAGCATAAACCATTATTATAAAGTGCTTATGACACATAAACTAAGAAATATACCTTTCTGTGTGAACTTCATAAAAATTATTTTGGTTTAATTCACGAAGAAACATTTGTATTCAATTTCTTTAGGTTGCATAATTTTCAAAATGACCAACAATAATACTGTGATGAAATCTCTGAGAATCATTTTCATTAAATTCACAAATAGAAGAACAAAAAGTTCAAAGTAGAAAAAGAAATCATGGGCAGCCCAGGTGGCTCAGCAGTTTAGTGCTGCCTTCCGCTCTGGGCCTGATCCTGGAGTCCTGGGATTGAGTCCCACGTAGGGCTCCCTGCATGGAGCCTGCTTCTCCTTCTGCCTGTCTCTGCCTCTCTCTCTCTCTGTGTCTCTCATGAATAAATAAATAAAATTAAAAAAAAAAAAAAGAAATCATGCTATGGGAAAGAAACATCATTTACTATTTCATTTTATATTATCTGTTTCATAGTATGTAAATATAAAAACTAGTCCATGACACTTCACACTGCCAAGGCGGGCAGCAGGCAGTCTCATATGTTCAATGTTCGTATTTATGTCCCCGCTCTTCCCTCCTGCCAGTACTCTCCACACACGGAGGGGCCAAAATCTTGAAGGCCCAGTTCTTAGGGAACTCACTGTTTAGGGATTCAAGACATTCATGCGGAACCATTCATACCTAAAGTCTCTGTTTCCATTTTGTCAGAAATTCTTAAGATTCTTACATATGGTAACTAAATACAAAATGAAGATCTGTTCTGCCCCTTAATTATAATTCTAGAGCACATAAAATATTTTGACTAAGATTAAATTAAAATGTCTATATGAAAACAAATCTACAATAAACCAGAAGGAGCTTAGTTTTGCTGACTTGACTTTTGCTTCTTCATGCACATTCTTTTGAAAACAGAATACAGAATTAAAGGGGGGGAGGAACCCAAAACTTTAGAAGAACCATAGTCTCTAAATTGGAAACAATGTTGTGGGAGAGCGTAAATCTAAACTAAATCTCAAAAAGCACAAATTAGCTTAGTGGTTCGCTGTTATTTTTGTGCTTTCATGGGGCCATAGGCAAGTATGAGGTCTTTGATCAATTACTTGACAAATGAATAAGATATACAAGACTAGATGTGATTCAAACTTTCTAGTCTGCAAAGAATTAGTGTTGCCATATTAGGGAGCTGCTACATTAAGCAACAAGCCCTTTAAGAATACTTACAGGGAAGTGGATTAGAGGGACTGTCAAAAGCACAGCAAATAGTATGCATAACTTCACAGTCAAGACGACAACATCACGGGGCAAATATGTGCTATAACCTTGTAGTAATTCTGACGCCACTTTGTCTGTAAATTAAAAAAAAATAAGGGTCACATTATAAACTACTAAGATGTCAATAAAAGCAGAATTATTTTTCTTGCACAAATAGATCTTAACAAATTTTGTATTCCCAGTACCATATCCTTCTCTACTTTTTCCTATCCTATGAAACAGAGACAAGAGTTAAATATCTTTTTGAAAATTATAATCTTTTCTTTTAGTTACACTAGAAATCAGCACAGGCAGAACTTTTAAAATTATGACAATGAATATATATATAAATAAATATCTCTTCAGAACTTTTCCACAATCTGAAGGTTTTGATTGTGTTTTGTAAAGAGCTTTCACATGTTGGATGCCTGGGTGGCTCAGCGGTTGGGTGCCTGCCTTCGGTCCAGGGCGTGATCCCACGTCACAGGATCGAGTCCCACGTCGGGCTCCCTGCACGGAGCCTGCTTCTCTCTCTGCCTGTGTCACTGCCTCTCTCTCTGAGTTGCTCATGAATAAATACATAAGATCTTAAAAAAAAAATAGAGCTTTCACATGTATGACTGAAAGTGTATCATGTGTTTCCTTCTGATAACAATTCATACAGGTAGTGAAGCTAAAAAGTATTAACTGACTTGGCCAAGGTCACACAACACAAAGGGGAAGAGTCGCTGTGATACATGCCCACATTTTTTGGTGCCAAAGCGAATGCTTTTTCCTCAATACTGCAATGTTTTCTAGATTCTCATACTTCTGTGCATGCTGTCTGCTTCCTCAACATTTCATCTGTAGATTCCCCTTTCATAAGAAAATGTAGTTGTAGGGAAATGGCTTATTCCACAAGCCAGTACAGTAGGTCCATGACAGAATGTGTACATGTTGACCATGCTTTGCTCCACGGTGTTCTTCCAGTTTCACAGCGTTTTCTGCACCCCCAGTCAGATGAGAGGTATGAAGAGTCAGTGTTCTTAGGAACAGTCCATATCCTGGATTGCAGGGACAGATTAGTTTGTATTTAAAAGAGAATGGTGATTTTTAAATTTGAGAGTAATGCTCTGGAAAAGATGCTTTGGAGGAAATAAACACACATCTGTTTTCAAGGATCTTAAAACATAAAGGAGCAATAAGATGAACACATACATATAATAGAAAGTGAATAAACGCAGATACACACATAAGTGGCAGGAGTAGCTCTAAACAAAGAGCTAGGGTGATTCTCAATAGGGAAAGGGAATTATGACTTTGGGATGAGCAAGGAGGAAATCCAGGGAGGCGTGGGGAGAGTCATTATGATCTAGTGAGTAGCAGGAAGGTAGAAGGCCCTGAAATCTGGGACTACACAGACGAATGTTCAAAGTCCTCTACTTATTAGTATATTAACTTTTCAGAGTCTCTCAGTTCTTACATCTGTAAAATGGGGACAATACTATTTTGATCTGTGGAGTTACTGAGATCATTAAATAAGTTAATGTATGTGTGGGGAAAGAGATTTTCTCTCAGAGCAAGAAGAGCCGGGCAGAAGAAGCCCCAAAGTAGCAAAGAGAATATGCATCTGAGAAAATGAGGAGACCAATAGTGCTTCAGTGGCTGAGGCGGGATGTGCCACAGAGCGAAGAGTGGTAGGTGATATGCCCAGAAAGTGCATTAAAGACCCAGTAGCAGAGCTCTTCATAGGTAAACCCTATGAGGTGGGCCACAGAGATGCAATGACTTATAAAGATTAGTGTATTATGATCTGAACTAAGCAGGAAGAAAAAGATATGCAGAACAGAACAGTTAGAGGGTTACTGTCATAATCACTGAGAGGTAATGAGAAATGAACTGGACTAGTGATAACGGAAATAGGAGAGAAACTAATTCTCTAAAATACCAAAGAACTACTTTACATGATATGAGACTAATGGACTAAGTAAGAGATTAAGAAGAGCCAGGAAAGCTGGATTCTATTTCCAAATCTGAGATATTTGTGAGCCTTTGAAAAAATATGGCAAACTATTTTATTTCCACTTTCTGAATCATGAAAATGAGCTATTAACACTTATTGCTTAACAATTTTGTAGATTTTAAAAAAATGGTCTGGTTATGATGTAATACTTGGGCACTGGCCTGGTTCCCCAAAGGAATACTTTTTCTTCCTCAGCATATAATGCTTTAACATCTGTAAAGAGCCAATATTATTAATCTAGGTACATACTTATAGGTCTCTGTAATCTGACAAAATTTAGATATTAACTAAGCCTTGGGAGTGGTGGATAAAAGGATCCCAAGCAGCTCCAGAAACATGAAGAACTAGATTTATTACAAATTCAAAATATCTGTTATATATCTACTTTCCCAGGATGAAAACACTTCTGAGGCAGTCAATTCTATGTTCTTAGCTGAGTCTTAACATACATAAGGGATAGAGTACAACACATTTCTCTGAATTCAGACAAATCTCTACAAATCTCAGTAAGGATCCGATGGTATTCTCTGCAAGTTATATATGCTATTAAGTCAGGAGGCTATCCTGTGTCATACACATGTCAAACCATATGAAGTTTATAAGGATAACCAAGAGTAGTAGAAAGATCACTGGATTAGTATTCAGGAGATATGCCACTAAATGTGTGACAGGTCATTTTGCTTCTTTGGGCTTCAGTTGCTCATTTACAAAACAAGTTGAAGGCCTTAACCAGGACTAACCCTTTTGATTGCTCAGTCAGCAATTTCTTTCCATAAGACTGAGAGCTACCATTATCTCGATAGAAATACACCATAAAAGGTGTTCTTTAATTATAATTAACAACCCCTCAAAAGCTAATGTAAACAGTAAAATCAATATCTGAATCTTCTTTTGTCTTTGGAGAAGGAATTACTTTAATGTCATTCTTTTATCTATTACCCACCAATGATGAGATTTTTTTTCTTAGATGCATACTTGTCCATTAGAGAAAATGTAGGTACTCTAAAGAACTGGCAGTGGATTAAGTCAGAGACAACATAACAGCTTTACCTGAAAACAAGGTCCATTGCTGTGCAGGGCAAACTTCATTTACATAATGAAAATGTTCAGCCTCTGTGTTCACATAACAACAGATAGGAATACAGGCAGGGAAGTAGGTAGGTAGAAAGGTAGGTAAAGATATATAGATATTCCTGGAGCTTAAGGGAGCCAGGTTTTTAAAAGCTCATTAAAAACTTGGGGTGAAGGAAATCTGGGTTCTAGAGCATAATTTCTGAGGAGGCAACGCGGTAACAAAAACATTAACTTTAGAGAAAGTCAGAACTGGGATTCAAATTCTAACTCGTTATTCACTAGCTACAGGTTATTTGGCTGGCCAAACTCCTCAACCTATGTGAACTATACCTTGTAGAGTTGTAAGGATGAAATTAAGCAATGTATATAAAATACTGGGCACTTACAGAGTAAATGTTAGCTCAATAAATGTATTAGCATCCATCCTTCCTCCACTTTCCTTTCAATCTAAGCTTTCTTAGAATTTAATGCAGCATCTCCTGTTAATTTATGTAACTATTTGGGGAATCCCTGGGTGGCTCAGTGGTTTAGTGCCTGTCTTTGGCCCAGGGTGTGATCCTGGAGTCCTGGGATCAAGTCCCACATCAGGCTCCCTGCATGGAGCCTGCTTCTCCCTTTGCCTGTGTCTTTGCCTCTCTCTCTCTCTGTGACTCTCATGAATAAATATATAAAATCTTAAAAAAAAAATTTTATGTAACTATTCCTCAGTTATCCTGGAGACTGGCAGGCTATTTGAGGCTTCTTCCAGATACCTATTTATCCATTAGGAGGAGGTCTATTTTTTGGACTTTTTCTCAATGTTGAAGATCTCTAGGGTATTTGAGTATTTGTGCTAGGTGACAATTTTAATTTAGAAAAATATACGGCTATTCTGTTCCACTAAGTTTTTGCTGAATCCCAACAGTAAACCTGCTATCTCTGACTGATCTAGAAAAGTGTTACTGAGCTCAAATCTGCAAAAATTTACAAACCCAACTACGCAAATTAGAGCTTATGTAGTTCAAGAATCCTGTTTCATTAGCGATGATCAAAAAAGCTTAACCATCTGCCTTAATTTTCTTTGTAGTGTATCCAGTAGGGAACCATACTCATGTTGGAAATAATGCTTTTTCTGATGGTGTACACAGAGTTCCACTACCCTTATCGTACATCAGCATAAAATGCAAGAGTAGATTTAATGACTCGTCTTTATTGCTATTAAAATACCATAGAGATAACAAGAAAAGGACTGTATAGAGATTATAATTTTCTTATATACTAAAAACTCTAAGATCATACTCATAACATAATACTCTAAAATTACCATATTTGACTTAAATCTCATTAAAGATGGTGAGAAATTAAGGGCTGAAAAACCGATCACTGAAATTATAAAATAACTACAATGATAATGATAATGATAATAGTAACCACCAGCAGTAGCTCTCCTTTGTGAAAGACTGCTACGTGCCAGATACTTATAAAAGGCTGATTTAACATGTAACTAATTTCCTCCTCAATATAACTCTACACAATTATCCCTGTTAGAGATTAGGAGACAAAGAGATTACAAAGTGAGTATCCTGTTCAAGGCCACATAGCTGGTTAGAACAGAGTAGTTATTTGTGCCATATCTGTTGGATTTCAAAATCCATACTCTTTCCCCTGAGATTAGGAAAGGTAGCTGGTTTAGTAAAGGTAGGTGTGCAAGAAAACATTGTCCAAAAACTTGTCAGACTTGGAAAAACTCTGAGAGAGAAGCAAAGTGCCATTAGAGGTAATCATGGATGTCTAAAACCTGAAACATGTGCACAAGGCTATCAACCATGAAATCAGAGTCCTAACAGCTAAATATCACCAGAGTAATAAGAGCCATTTACTTGGAGAGTTCTATAAAAGCACTCATAAGCTGAAAAGTGTATTCAAGAATTTACTGTTATTATAAGAATTTAAAAGAATCCTTCACAAAATTTATGGGGAAAGGTCATGGTACATCATAGAATGTACACTGCCAACTTAAGTCTGAAGTCAAAGATCTCTGATATCTAAGCGTACCACTACAGTCCAGTATAAATCCATTTCTTTACTTGTTCTTTTGCAATTAAGATGATTGATTCTCCCAACCTCTCAAACTCAACTAGAGTCTAACATATGGAATTCTCAATTAAAAAATAAAATCATTATTGCAAATTTTTTCTTGTGGAAAGACAGCAATGTCCCTAAGCTTTACTTAGGTGTTTAAGAAAATTTTCATATGAAGTTATTAATCTTGAAGTCGAAACACTTCTATTTTTATTTTATTATTTTTTTAAAAAATATTTTATTTATTTATTCATGAGAGAGACACACAGAGAGAGGCAGAGACAAAAGCAGAGGGAGAAGCAGGCTCCATGCAGGGAGCCCGATGCGGGACTGGATCCCAGGACTCCGGGATCACATCCTGGGCTGAAGTCGGCGCTAAACCACTGAGTCACCCTGGCTGCCCAGTTGATACATTTTTAAAAGAAAGAAAATCAACTTTTTAAGGTCCATAAAGATACTATACAGTACTGCACTGAATTCTAGAAGCCAAAACAAATTAGTTTATTAATGAAAGGCAGAAACAAAGTCCATATTTAGGTATGAGATCAACTACAGAATGATTTGTCATTGGTAATTAAATAATACACTTACCATAAAAAGTGAGGTATCCAAAGAGAGCAGATATAAAATAAATGAGAAAACTTAAAGCAATTGCTGTATGAGTTGCATTTTGCATTCTTTTCTTTGAAGGGCTAAAAAACAAAATTGGCAAAAGTAGAAACTGTGATCTGAATTATATATAAAGAAACAAATATCTCCCAAGCTAGTCAAGAGGATTCCTTAATTAAGACCTACTTTATTAATAACTATATACTAGAATTTATGATTTGAAATTACTGCACAAAGATTATGCTTCCAGGAAACATTTTCAAGTTGGATAGAACTAACTCTTGGTTGTTTTGTTTTAAACTAACACTTAGGGACACCTGGTTGGCTCAGTGGGTAAAGCATATGAGATCTTGGCATTGTGAGTTCAAGCCCCACACTGGGTAGTTTTATAAAAATAAAATCTTTAAAAAATAAATAAATAAACTAACACTTAGAATCCAGTGATAGGAAAGAAGGATTCACAAAGGAGAATGTCACTCAATCTGAAAGTCTAAGAAGCAAAAAGAAAAACTTAATACACTTAAAATATTTCATGATTCTATGGTACCTTTGAAGTTCACAGTATATTGGCAATATTGAGGTATGGCAGAGAAATGAAAAAGCCATGGTAGGTATAGCATAAACACTCTGAAAAAGAATTTTAAAAATGAAATTATTAAGTGCTATTCTATTGAAACCACTACTTCATTTGACAATAAACTCAGGTCTTCAAAAAAAAATCAATTTGGGTAAGTCAATAGACTTTCATCTTTCATGAATCATCTCTTTATAAAATGAAGGTGTTTTGTTTTGTTTTAAAGAGAGACACAAGTATGGTCACCAACAAATGTATTACTTGATAGTTGGACTGCCTGTGCTAGCCAGAATATTTCTCAGATGGCTTCAATAACATGTTGGGAGTATCCCCAACTAAATCTAAGGGAATACTAAAAATACTTATCACATCTTAGATCTTTAACTAGGGTCTGTTTCAATAGGAATGAACAGGATATATTCTAGACTGACAAATTCTTAAAGATCCATTGAATACACAAATATAAGTGGTTTTTTAAAATTAGAATACAGAAGAGCCAGAGGAAGTTATAAAGCAAACAGAAGTTACCATCTAAGTGAAAATATTGTCTTTATAGAATGGATGGTGACGACTTACTTTCTCTTTTCTACTATAAAAAGATTTCTTCTAACTAACAACTTTAGGCCCTTCAACAAAAATCCCAGATGACCTATCTTGGGATATAATGCCTTCTAAAATATCTGAAAGGAGCTAGGAAGGAAAGCTGTAGCACTTCCTGACATTGGATTAAGGGAATGACAGTTTAATTCACAAATTCTCTTTCATATATTGCTCAATTTCCTGGCTTGTCAATTACTCTACCTATATCTTTAAGGCAGATAGCCTTTATCATGTAAAGGATGTGGTAATCTCCCTTGTGGAGCCAGAGAGACATTTCTTATTGAGGAACTGGGGATAAAAAGGAAAATGGTACATGAAGGAGTTAGCACACTAACATGCTATAATAGAGTTGTACAAGAGTGGAGGGGATTCTAGTATCTGGGACTTGGATTTCAACAGAATCAAAAAGCATAGATGAAGAAACTTGTGGCAACAGGGAAGACTTCGGACTCTTCTAGAACAGTAAAGTAGGTACCATCCATATCACAGTTCCTGTCTCTTCTGCCCATGCTCTGGCTCTTACAGACATTTCCAGTATACTGGTTTTCAGAGATGGCAAGGAGACTTGGTCTTCTGGTCTGTGCTCCGAGCATCATAAATTTCAACTTTGTAATGTCAGCCAGAAGATATATTAGCAGCACTCAGTTGCTAGTCCAATGATGAGCTGTTTAGCTACAGACCAAGGCTCTACTCACAGGGGAGGAGTTTTTGATATAATTGGCTATTTAGCTTTACAAGTCCAGAGAGCAACAGGAAGTCTGTATCCACAGAGGACCTTATTGGCCAGACCAGACATTCGGTAAATCTGTTCTTTTAGGCAGTGGCCCATTTAAAACAGACTCCATTTAAAGGCATGCCAAAAGAAAAAAAAAAAAAAGGTGGCTGTTTTATAATGGGCCACCCTGTGTTAAATAATATTATTCTTTTGGTAGGCAACCCTATACTTAGCACTTTCATGAAAATTAATTAGTTACAGGTACAAAGACCTAAGAGACCCTGTTACACAAATCTCTTAAAACTTGAAATGTGAAAAATCAACCAAAAGTATCTGTTAATAACTTACACACCTCTTTGGAGAAATGAAAGAGCTTTGGTTTACAATCATCTGTAGCATTTGAAATCTGTTTAAGAGGATTGAGGGGAAAAAGAGAAACCAACAGTCATTAAAAGTCAGAATACATCAACAAAAATGATGTATTTATTATTAGTAGGCTTTCAAATAAAAATACTTCACAACAAAGTTCCAAACTGCAATATAGCCATTACTTTCTCAATAATTAGGAAAAAAAATATTATTAGTGTGATTTTTTTAGCTTAAAATAAAGAAATAAAATATAAACTATTACCTGGAAGTACTGCTCTGCATAAATTAATGGCAGAGGACAAGGAATGGACCATTTTTTAATTATTATCTGTAAGAATAGAGAGAATCCACACTCAAGATTATTTCTTATAAAATTCATGACAAGAAATTGATTTCAAAAGGTAATCATTCTTTCAATTAAACTAGCACCATACCAAATAATAGCTAATAGAAGATTCTTTGCTCATATTATTTTTTTCAAGTTAGAAAGGGTCATCCTTTAACACGGTTACCTATTTTGATGGGGGGAAGGGAATGCTGTATTTCTGTTGAGTAGGGTTTTCCCCAATTTAAGATTGAGAGTATTCTCATGTCAACTTTCAAAACCCCACAAGTATCAAGGCATTAAAAAAAATACAACTCAAAATGGGAACATGATGTTTTTAGTGACAATAGTGTAAGACTACACTATTTGTGGACCTGGCATCAGTAGCAGATAGAGAAATATTAATAGCAGTTTGGGAAATGGCCACAGGCAGAAATAGAGAACTTATGCAAAGCTGGAGTACAAGTAATGCTGTACAAGTAATGTCCTGCTGGCTTTTTTCAGACTTGTATTACTTTTAGTAAATGTAGATAAAGTGGGCTAAGAATAACACCACATAGCAGGTGAACTCCAGCTGGTAAAAAGAAATTTTTTAAAAATTAAAAGAAATCCAAAGGAATGTTATTTCTCCGAAAGAATCAATGAGAAGATCTCAGGATTTTACTCTGAATGGTGGCCATCCTTTTCCTAGACCTACAGTTGTGGTCCTGTTGACATTACCATTGTTGCAGTGGTTTCAGAGCATTTTATTTACTCTGTAAATATTTGCTCCCAGCTGAGACCCAAGGGCAAGGGAGAATAAAGAGAGCATTTGTGCTTAGCAGGAGACCAATAAGTAAATACTATTCCTATTCCGTATTTATCTAGTTTTAGATTTTAACTAATTCAAACCAAGTTTTATATAGTGATAAAACAAACCTAAGAAAATGTTGATTTTTAGAATTAAGCTAATGAGTGAACTAAAGAAGGAGTCTTAATTAAAACCCTCACCAAGATAAAATAAAAAGAAACAAAAGATAAACTGAGCCAGTTGCTTTGATATTTCTAGGTAAGTTTGCAACATGAAATAAAATCAAATGGTCAGTTTACCAAGAGGAAAAAAATCAAAAGCAATAATTTCACATATATTTTTTGGTATCTTTTCAAAGAAGGATGAGGATGGGGTAGGGCAGACACTAGTCTCCGTTGCCACTGGTCTCTCTCTTCAGCCCTTCCTTGAGCTCGATGCAGCACACCCCCTTCCCCAACTGACAGCTGTGTGGCAAGGTGGCAACCGTGCACTGAGCACTTGTGCACCAAGTACTCTGACAAGGCCGGAGTGTAAGCTAGCTCATTTATTTTATCAGCTATTATTACTTGGCTGGCAAATCAAAATGTTTCAAAACAAGGCTCCAAAATACAATATAATGATTTTTGCATTCATTTTTCAATGAATTTCTAGTTAATGAAAAGATCATTAGCAGTTTGGTTTTATATTAATATAAACTTTGATTACTATAGCCAATTTCACTGCAGAGACCCATCCCATGCCTAAGTCCACACAGTGGGATGGCAAAAGGTGCTGTTCTATAGAGTGCAGAACTGGACTATGAAGATACCCAACAACAGAGCATGACAGGGAGTCCTTACTCAAGTTGAAGACAGAACATGGTAAGAAGATAACTCCAGGGGTTAGAGAGACAAAGGGGAAAAGAAGATTAAATTCACTTGCACAAAGGCTCTTTTCTCTTTCTAAGTTCTTCCCATCCTTCAAGGCTCAGCTCAAGTTTAATATCCTTCCCTCCTTTTAACTGCTGCATTTCTTATTCTGAAGCATATAAATCAATAATTATGTGTTGTCTACATTGTTCTCTATTGTTTTCCAATTAATTTTTCCTATCTCCCCTATGAGATTGATAGAGTCTTAAGAGCAGTGTCCACAAGTCTGAGGCAGCTATCATGCCTCACTTAGTCCTTGGAACAAGCAAACCTTCTGACCACAAATTGTTTTCTGTTTTGATTACTGGCTTACTCTAAAATATTACTTAAGACAGAACTTTTGGAAACAGTGGCAATCCATTTGTTTTCTAAAATGGACCAAAAAAGGTAAACTCACCTGGTTACTGACATTCTGAACCACTGCTAAAATAAAATAGATTTTATAAATTTTAGATATTTCAGAGAGGGCAAAATTTTAAGTTAACATTTTTTTACGTTAAAATTTTTATGCAAAATAAAGATCTGGGACAATCCAGATTCTTAAGTTTTGAGGTGCCTGGGTGGCTCAATTGGTTGAGCTTTAGACTCTTGCTCTCTGCTCAGGTCTTGATTTCAGGGTGGTGAATTCGAGCCTAGCCTGGAGCCCACTTAAAAACAAAACAAAACTGTACGTTTTTCTTTCCATCTGGTATAGGCATAAGCTCAAAGGTCAGTCAAGATGGGTGCTTACAAGTACATTCAGAAGCTATGAAGAAGCAGTGCAACGTAATGTACTTTCTTCTATGGGTGTGCTGCTGCTGCTACTGACAGCCCTCTCTCTCTCCTTAGGACATCCCTCGCCATCCTCCACCCCGGGCAAGCTGGTGGGGTACAAGGCCAAGCAAGGTTATGTCATATCAGATTCAACATAGTGGCCCCAAACGCCATTCCTAATGGTGAGACCTCAACCAAGGCTGTCCAACATGGTGCTAACCAGCTAATGTTTGCCAGAAGCCTTCAATCAGTTGCATAGGAGTGAGCTGGATGCCACTTGGGACTCTGGGGGTCCTGAATTCTTACTGGGTTGGTGAAGATTCCATGTACAAATTCTTTGAGGTTATTCTCATTAATCCATTCCGTAAAGTTATCAGAAGAAACATCCGGTGGATCACCAAACCAGTCCACAAGCACAGGGCAACATGAGGGCCGCCATCTGCAGGCCGCAGGAGTGGTGAGAAGTCACAAGTTTCACACACTCTCAATGGTTCCTGCTGTGCAGCATGGAGAAGACTCCCTAGTTCCACTGTTACCGCTAATTTAAGTAATGTTTAAGTAAGTAATGTTGGTAAAATCCTTATCTAAGAAATGATGTAGTTCAGTCATAATTGCTTCAAAGTGTTCTTTGTTAAAATGAGTTGTCTGCAGATTGTTGCATGAATGCACTGTCAAATTATGAAAGCTAAAGTGTAATAATGTTTGAAGACTGTGATGGCGTGTCTTGTTTTAATAGGATAAATATTTTTGTCTTTGCTTTATGTCATCAGGGAGTTTATATGCCAGTGCTTAAAATGCTGTTTGGTATACTAGGTGTAAAATAAATTCTATAAGTGGAATGCAGGGACACCTGGGTGGCTTAGCGGTTGAGTGTCTGCCTTCAGCTCAGGGTGTGATGTAGGGTCTGGGGATTGAGTCCTGCATTGGGCTCCCTGTGAGGAGCTTGCTTCTCCTCTGTCTCTGCCCCTCTCTCTCTCTCATGAATAAATAAATAAAATCTTAAAAAAAAAAGTGGAATGCAGAAGCTAGCCACATCATTTGTTGGTGCATGTAATGAAACCTACACTTCGTTGGGGTGATGTGATGCTCAGCTGGTTTACTCTCAAATGGTTGTTTTTAGGGGTTCGGTAAGAACAAGCTTTTTAAATTGGATTTTTCTTGGAAATGTGAAGAACATCCTAATCTCTTACCATGATCAGATGCGGAATAATAAAGGGTCCATATTTTTAGGTTTAATCCAGTATTTCATTTAAGTAACTGCTGGTTTTGAAAGAATACTTTAAAAGAATGCCACCATTTTTAGAATTAAAGCCATTGTGAGGGATCCCTGGGTGGCGCAGCGGTTTGGCGCCTGCCTTTGGCCCAGGGCGCGATCCTGGAGACCTGGGATCGAGTCCCATATCGGGCTCCCGGTGCGTGGAGCCTGCTTCTCCCTCTGCCTAAGTCTCTGCCTCTCTCTCTCTCTGTGTGACTATCATAAATAAATTAAAAAAAAAAAAAAAGCCATTGTGAGAGGGTTCTCACAATGAATATAAATCCTGGGGATCCCGGGGTGGCTCAGCGGTTCAGCGCCTGCCTTTGGCCCAGGGCATGATCCTGGGGTCGGGATGGTATACCGCATTGAGCTCCCAGCATGGGGCCTGCTTCTGCCTCTGCCTGTGTCTCTGCCTCTCTTTCTCTCTATGTCTATCATGACTGAATGAATAAAATCTTAAAAAAAATGAAAATGAATCCTGCTCAACCTAAGCAAAATTGTCTTGATCTCCACAGTACCACTGAGGTTCATGGTGGAGGCTCCTGATTCTATCCCATGACTCCATGGGATATGTAGAATACTGAATTTCATAAAAGTAGTCAGTAATGGTATTTATACCAGTGTATACTAAAACTAGTAGAAATTAAACATTAGGTAAATGAGGAGAATTTACCTTAAGATTTGTAAGCTAGTAGCCAATGCTAGAATTGGGAAACTGGTAGCCATCAAATAACCTTTTAAATGTGAGGATAGAAGATTAAAGTTGGCTTTGATCAGATTTTTTTTAAAAAAGACTGTAAGTTCCAATTTACATTATTTGGAGAGCATAAAGTAAGATTTCTGGACTGATTTTTAAAATTTTTATATTAAAATATTTTTAAAATGTAAAAAAAAGAAATATTTCAAAAATGTAATACAGATATTATATAGATTTGTAAATACATATTGACAAAAATAAATGGAGCCACTGACACCATTCTAAAAAATCTGGGTTAATATACACGTTTCCTTTCCCTAACCGTTATGTATTTCAAAACATAATTATTTAGGAAGTTTAAAATAAATGTCAGAATTAAAGGGAACTTAAAAAAGTGTACAGTGTCTTCATTGTTCCATTATAGATCAATTTAAATTTTGCTCACAGGTAAAAATCTGAGCAGATGGTTTGTAAAGCATTACAATAAGTGCAGAATAAGGACATTATTTCCATATGACTGCTACAGTAAGAAATCTGCATCAAATTTAAAAGTATCTGCCATGGCAGAAATGAATATTGTGAAAAGTACAAAAGATGTATTATATCAATACGTCTCATATGCTTCAAACTATTGGCTATAAAAACCAAATTATTCTTACCTATGCAATGCTTGGATTGCCAATTATCTGTGAGGAAAAAATTTAGTGTTATCTAGATTGATTCTTTTGCACCCATATGTTTATTCGCATACATAGGTCATTCCTAACCATACAGATGCTTCTCAACAATCAGTTTATGAAACTGGACTATTTTCTAATACTATAAGAAAAATAGACTTAAAATGGACTAAAGACCTTTAATTAGGATTAAATATGAGACCTAAAACCATAAAATTCCTAGAAGAGAAAACAGGCAGTAACTTCTCTGACATTAGCCATGGGCAACATTTTTCTAGACATGTATCATAAGGCAAGGGAAACAAAAGCAAAAATAAACTATTTGGACTACATAAAAAAAAAAAAAAAAGCTTTTGCACAGCTAAAGAAATGCCAACAAAACAAAAAGGAAACCTACCGAATGGGAGAACATATCTGCAAATGATATACCTGATAAGGAGTATCCAAAATACATAAAGAACGTATACAACTCAATGCCAAAAAAAAAAAAATCCAATTTAAAAATGGCGGAGGACTTGAATAGACATTTTTCCAAAGAAAACATACAGATGGCCAATGGACACATAAAAGGATGCTGAGTATCACTAATTCAGGGAAATGCAAATCAAAACCATAATGAGTTATTGCCTATCGGAATAACTAAAATCGAAAAGACAAGAAATAACAAGTATTAGTGAAGATGTGGTAAGAAAAAGAACCCTCAGGCACTGTGGAAGGAAATGTAAATTGGTACAGCCACTGTAGAAAACCACATGGAGGTTCCCCAAAATATTTAAAATAGAAATACCATATGATTCAATATTCCACTATCAGGTATTTACCCAAAGAAAAGATATATATGCACCCCTCTGTTTACTGAAGCACTATTTACAATAGCCAAGATACGGGAGCAACCTAAATATACATCAATAGACAAATGGATAAGGAAGATGTGTGTGTGTGTATGTGTATGTGTATACACAATAGAATATCACACAGCCACAAAAAAGGATGAAATAGTGCCATTTTCAACAACATAGATGGACCTAGAGGGTATTTTGCTAAGTGAAATAAATAAGTCAGACTGAAAAAGACAAATACCATATGATTTCACTCCTATGTGGAATCTAAAAAAACAAATGAATAAACAAAGAAAAAGCAGAATCAGAGCTATAAATACAGAGAACAAACTGATGGTGGCCAGAGGGAAGGGAAGGGGGGGATGAGCAAAATGGATGAAAGGAAATGGGAGAAACAGACTTCCAGTTATGGAATGAATAAGTATGGAAATAAAAGGTCCAGCATAAGGAATATAGCCAATGATATTGTAATAGCACTGGATGGTGACAGATGCCAGCTACAGTTATGGTGAGTACAGCATAATGTATAAATTTATTGAAATCATTATGTTGTACACCTGAAGCTAATATAACACTGTGTCAAAAAAAAAACACTGTGTCAACTATACCAGAAAATTAATAAAGTACCACTGCAAAAAAATCCATTTATGGTGAAAATAACTGTTATTTCTCTTTTTAATGTGAAGTGTAAAAAATACATGTTTATGGATGTTACCTAAACTTATTACGGTGATCACTCTGCTATATCTGTAAGTTAAGTCTTTATACTGTGCACCTTAAGCTTATACAGTGCTCTATGTCAGTTATATCTACATTAAATTAAAGGGGAAAAAAGTATGTGTTCAATTAATTTACTTCTAAGATAGAAGCCAGACAATTTGAGGTGGGGAAAGTAACAACTTTTAATACTGATAAATTCAACAAATGATTAAATATAAACACTGTTAAGTATTTTAGTTTTAAAAGCATCCATTAAAGTATAAGTATTTTGGTACACTAAAACCAGGGTTACTTCCACTTCATTTAATAATCTAAAGTTGTTTTATCTTTGCATCCCAGAAGATAATTTAACCTAAATCAAATGCATCTGAAATTGTTGTGACAGCTTGAAAATCTGCCTCTATAATATGTTTTAACTACTGGTGTGTTGTGTCGCTCCTTTCTTTCACTCATTTTTCAGTAACAAGGAAGAGTTTAATCATTTACGTACCCAGTATTATTCAGAAATAAACCTATACACACACTTATACAAAGAATTAAACTTCACGTAAGGTTTAACAGAATCAGTGTGCTCTCCTTTCTAGTTAACCAAAAGAGATACTGAATTTGAAACAATGCTCTAGCTAAGCCTCTTCAAAATACAGACAATAATGAAATAATTTTGTGGAATAAAAGTACTTTAATAACACACTGAAATAAAACTCTGACAGAAAACAGAGTTAAAAAAAGAAGACATTGGGATGCCTGAGTGGCTCAGTAGTTGAGCGCCTGCCTTCAGCCCAGGGCATGATCCTGGGTCCAGGGATTGAGTCCCACATAGGGCTCCCTGAATGGAGCCTGCTTCTCCCTCTGCCTATGTCTCTGACCCTCTCTCTGTGTTTCATGAATAAATAAGTAAAATCTTAAAAAAAAAAAAGGCATTAACACAACAAGTTCAATTTCAGTGAGGAGATAAGCAATATATTATATTTTAAACTTACCACAAGAGCAAAGAACACCATAAAGAAAAATGATAAACTACTTGTGTAGCCAAGAAAGCCTGTAAAATAACAGTAAAATAAAAAGCAATTTATAAGGAAAGTGATCCTAACATACGGCTAAAGCTATATATCGTGGGCATGTTTTCTATTACAGTGCTTGGTATCTGGGGCTTAGGCTGAGAATAACAACATTCCAACTATCTGTCACAGATCATTTATGCAGCTCTGTACAGCAGAATTGGAACTGGCTTACCACTAATGGTACACTGTAAGGAAAGGCTGGTCTTTAATGTTCCACTGTAAAGATTTTATTTTAGTGGGGCAGACAAAATACTACTGCAAACCGAGTAATAGGCTAACAAGGCAAGGCTGAAGGCTGAACAACCTAAAATAAGTCCAAGTTCAAAATTATTCACTACCACCCTTCTGCTAAAAATGTGGTACTATGAAATTTAAAAGCCCCTTAACATTATCTTTTTTCATCCTTCCTTCCAAAAACTGCCCTCTTCTCTAAATACTTACCTATTTTAGGAAGAAGTGCAAGAGGGAACACAATACCAACACAAATGATTATTAGTAGTGTTTGTCCATCAAGATACCAAGACCTATTAGGAAAAAAAAAGTCCTATTTTAGGCAGAGGAATCTGGTGTTTGTATTTACACACACACACACACACACACAGTTATAACCATTAGGAAACGCCTACTTCCTTTCGTTACAATATGTTCTTGTGAAATTCTATTACTTATTAATTTATATTTAAGAAAGATATCAAAACAATGAAATGCCATTTTTCAACTACCAAATTAGCAAGTATTTAAAAGACAATAGTCAGTGTTGTTGAGGAATGAAAAGGTGTGCACAAAGTTGATAAAGGTAGGGGCTCTAGGTGGCTCAGTTGGTTAAGAGTCTGGCTCTTGTTATGGCTCTTCATGATCTCAGGGTTCCAGGAAAGAGCCCCAGGTGAGCCTTCATGTTCAGCAAAGAGTCTGCTTAAGGACTCTCTCCCTTTTCCTCTGCCCCCCCCCCCCGCTTGTGCACAGGCGCACGTGCTCTCTCTCTCTCTCTTTCACTCTTTTTTTTTTTTTAAGATTCTTAAATTTATTTATTCATGAGAGACACGCAGAGAAAGGCAGAGACATAGGCAGAGGAAGAAGCAGGCTCCCCGCGGAAAGCCTGATGTGGGACTGGATTCCAGGACGTGGGGATCATGCCCTGAGCCAAAGGCAGATGCTCAATCATTGAGCCACCCAGGCATCCCTCTTTCTGTCTCTCAAATAAATAAATCTTTAAAACTGGTGCAGGTAAAAATTGTATATATTACCTTTCTGGAAAGCAATTTGGCAAGAAATATCAAAAGACTTCAAATATTCAACTCTGTATAAAATACTATTGAAAATAAACAATCAGGGGTGCCTCAGTTGGTCAAGCATCTGACTCTTGATTTTGGCCATGATCTCAGGGTTGTGAGATCAAGCCCCAGATGGCTCTGTGCTGTGTATGGAGGCTGCTTAAGAGTCTATTTCCCCCATCTCCCTCTGTCCCTCCTCCTGCTCATGTGTGCACTCTCTCTCAAAATATAATTAAATAAATAAATAATCAATCAATCAATCAGTTGGGGCCTCTAGGCAGATCAGTTACGTGCCTGACTCTTGATTTTAGCACTTCAGTTCAGGTCTTGATCTCAGGGTCATGAGTTCAAGCTTGCATTGGGCTCCATGCTGGGTGTGGAGCCTACTTAAAAAATAAATAAACAAACAAACAGCAATAAAAACAAAAATATTTGTAAAAAGATGTTTACTGAAAACATTTAAAATACTGAAAATCAGAAACATCTAGATCAGGGTGCCTTGGTGGCTCAATGGTTGAGTGTCTGCCTTTGGCTCAGGTCATGATCCCGGGGTCCTGGGATCAAGTCCCACATCGGGCTCCTCACAAGGAGCCTGCTTCTTCCTCTGCCTATGTCTCTGTATCTCTCTCTGTGTCTGTCATGAATAAATAAAATCTTTAAAAACAAAAAAACAAAAAACCTAAGATCATGACAATTTTAAAACAAATGATGGGACTATGGGACAATCATTAAAAAGAAAATTTTACAGGTATAACAATATAATGAATAATATAATAAATAATATAATGATATGAAAACATCATAAACATATAAATAGCATGATTAGCAATTTTGAGGAAAAGTATAGATTCATCAAAAAATGGAAAAGAACTGCAACATACTGATAGCCATCATCTCTGGGTGGTAGAATGATGGGTAATTTTTCTTCTTTACAGTTTTCTATATTTTTCAAATTTTCAAGAAAGAGTATGAATTACCAGGAAAAAAAGTATTACATATTTCATATGAAGGTATTAGAATATTAAATGAAAAAAAAGGTAGATTAAAAGTGTGATGATGTATTTGATTACATAAAAAAACTGGATGAATGTTTAAAAATAGGTCATAAGGATATACTTAGAACGATAGAAGTAGATATTTCTCTGTGGTAGCAATATGAGTAATTTTTGTCTTCTCTTTGCATATAGATGGTTTCAATTTTCTGATATAAAATACATGAGTGGAAATTTATAAAAAAATTTTAGAAATACTTTTTAGTATATAAAGGACAAACAATTCATGAAAGAAGTATAACCAGTAAATACACATGAAGAAAAATCAAAAATCTCTGGTACTAATTAAAGAAATAAATATGAAGCTGCTGAAATTAAGCTAGTAAAATTATTCAAAAAGTAATATTCAAGAATGTGGCATAAGTGGTCCTTCATGCAGTGCTATCTTGTCAATTAGTACTTCTTCTGGAAAAACAATGACATTATATAACAAAAGCAATAAAAATTTGGCAATCTAAGAAAATAATCTATAATATAAAGAATTCTATGGGCATGAAGCTATGAACACAACATTCCTATAACATTAAGTTGGAGGAAAGTCCTATATGTTTAACAACAGAAAATACTAGGTCAATAAAAGCATATTCAGTGGAATTGTATACAGTTTTTTAAAAAAGACAGTTTAATAAAATGGAAAATAATAATGATAAAAATAAAAAATATATGGCTATTATCTATGTTTTAAAAAGCTTTATTAAAAATAAATAAAAAGTTTATTGAGAAAAATTAAAAGGAAATAAACAATTATTAGGTAAGATGGTATTGTGTATGATTTTTATCTGCTTTCTTTTCTATATTTTCTGTAACCATTTTCACTGAAACATATACATATATACAGAAGCACAATAGTAACAAAGTAAAATTAATGCCAATATGCAGGTGGAACATCAAAGACAATAGGGGTTATTTTTTCAAATCATTTGGTAGATACTCTGAGAATTCTCAGTTGGTGAAAATGCATCCTCTTTTCTACCAGGCAGCTAAAGTTGCCCACTGACATGTTAAATTAAGAAAATAGATAAATTCCTAAAGTATATAACACATCAAAGTTAAATGATAAGAAATAGAAAATATGAACTGAGCAATAAGGAGTAAAGACAATGAATCAGAAATCAAAAACTTCCCAACAAAGAAAAGCCCAGGACCAAATTGTTTTATTGGTGAATTCTATCAAATATTTAAAGAAGAATTTATGCCAATAATTCTCAAACTCTTCAAAAAAACTGAAGAGGAGGGAATACTCCCAAACTCATTTGACAAGGGTAGCATACTCTAATATGAAAGCCAGATACGGACACTACAAAAAGCCAAAACTAAACATCAATATCCCTGATGAACACAGATGCAAAAATCCTCAACAAAATATTAGCAAACTAAATTCAATGGCACATTAAAAAGATCATTCACTATGATTAAGTGGAATTTATCCCTGGAATGCAAGGGAGATTGGACACATGCAAATCAATAAATGTGATACAGCACATTAATAAGATGAAAGACAAAAATCATATAATCATCTCAATAGATGTAGAGAAAGCATTTGACAAAATGTAGTAACCTTTTATAATAAAAGCCTTCAACAAAATTTGGTATAGAAGGAACATACCTCAACATAATAAAGGCCATATATGACAAACCCACAGCTAACATCATACTCAGGAGTTGAAAGCTTTTTCTCTAGGATCAGGGTGCCCACTCTCACCACTCTTATTGAACATAGTACTGGAAATCCTAGCTAGAACAAATTAGGCAAGATAATAAATATAAAGAACATCCAAACTGGAAAGGAAATAGTATATCTGCCTTTATTTGTTGATCATATAATTTTATATAAAGGGTATCCTAAAGATTCAACCAAACAGCTGTTAGGACTAATTAACACATTCAGTAAAGTTGCAGGATACAAAAGTAACACGCAAAAATTAGTTACATTTTTATACACTAACAACAAAATATCTAAAAAAGAAATAAAACAATCCCATTTACCCAGCCTCAAAAACAATAAAATGCGTGGAAATAAATTTAACCAAGGAAGTAGATCAGTATACTGAAAACTATGAGAAGACTTTAATAACAGAAATTGAAGAAGACACAAATGGAAAGATATCCTGTCATTCAAGGATAGGAAAAATTAATTTGTTAAAATGTCATACTACCTAAAGCCATCTATAGTTAATGTAATCTCTATCAAGATCTGAATGATATGTTTTTATAGAAATAGAACATTAATGCTAAAATCTGTATGGAACCACAAAAGATCCCACACAGCCAAAGCAATTCTGAGAGAGAAAACAAAGCATCACAGTTTTCTGATCTCAAACTAACTACACAAAGCTGCTCTAGTAATCAAAACAGTATAGTACAGGCATTAAAAATAGCCCAGAAATAACTCTGTGCAGATAAAGAGCCAGCCAATATCTGGCAAGGGAGCCAAGAGTGTTCAATAGGGAAAAAAGTCTCTTCAGGGCAGCCTGGGTGGCTGAGCGGTTTAGCGCCGCCTTCAGCCCAGGGCGTGATCCTGGAGACACGGGATTGAGTCCCATGTCAGGCTCCCTGCATGCAGCCTGCTTCTCCCTCTGCCTGCATCTCTGCCTCTCTCTCTCTCTGTGTGTATCTCATGAATAAATAAATAAAATCTTAAAAAAAAGTCTCTTCAATAAATGGTGTTAGGAAAACTGAATAAACACCTGCAGAAAAATAAAATTAGACCCCTATCTTATAACGCTCACAAAAATTAAGTTGAAATGGATTAAAGACTTAAATGTAATATCTGAAACCATAAAACTTCCACAAGAAAACATAGGGGGAAAGCTCCTTGACATTGGCCCTGGCAATAATTTTTTGGTTATGACACCAAAAGCACAAGCAACAAAAGTAAAAATAAGTGGGACTACATCAAACTAAAAAGCTTTTTCACAGCAAAAGAAACAATAAACAAAATGAAGAGGATATCTATGGAATGAGAGAAAGTATTTGCAAACCATATAGGCGGTTAATAGCTGAAATATATAAAGAACTCAAACAATAGCAAAAAAAAAATTGAACAATCCAATTTAAAAATGTGCAGAGGAAATCAACAGCCATTTTTTCCAAAGAGGACATACAAATGGTCAACAAGTAGGTGAAGAGATGCTCAACATCACTAATCATCACAGAAATACAAATTAAAACCACAGTTATTATGGGTATGAAAAAGATAAG